CAGAATCAGTCACTAATGTCACCACAGTGCTGCGTAGGAATAGACTGTGATGATACACGACCTGGAAAATTACATTCATTACATTCTACACAAACGGGAAGCGTGCCTTTCGGTCAGATGACTTTCTAACTAGAACTTTCTGAGGTCAGAAGTTTTTCCCGTTGGTTTGTAGAATGAGGAGAGGCATTGAACCCAAAACCACTTACCCTCCAGGGGAAACACTGACTCACAATATCTAACTAGCGGGATGCTGTAATAATCTTAATCTGTCACTGAAGAATTGTTTTACCCATGGTTCCTAGGTAATATATACTGACACTACCATACAGACATTCACTCCGGTAGTCAATATGGAACGAACGATAACCCAATTCCCCACCTGTATGTCTTTTGGACTGTGAGTTTGAGCTGTTTCGAATAGACATCAAAATTGGAATATTTACAATGTTTTCAAAATGGATACAGAAGGAAACATCTACACTCTGCTCACCGAACTCGGCCCGATCCAGAAGTTCTCCTGCTGCACAAATTTGACGTTCTCGTACACACCTTTGTTTCTTAAAACCTGGCAAACGGTAAAGGCAAAGGTTTGCAAGAAAGTTCTCTGACATATGTCAATCACTAGAGGGAGCTGGACTCACAGAATCAACCGTCTCATGCTGGGAGAATCCCACTGGTGCAACACCGTAGATACATACAGCCAGAATAGTGATGAGTAAATGCACAACGGTGATCCAGTACGTGAAGAAAGGCCTAAAAACACAAACCATTATCAAGGAATGTCACCTAAAACTAAATCAATCCCACGTTTAGACCTGAGCTGCCGTACCTGTGGTCGTCCATGTCCTCTATCTGCCTCTTGACGTAGCTGTCTATACGTTTGCGATAAGTGCGGTTTGTCAGCTTTCCCACCATGCCCAGTCCATACGGCCTCTTCTCTCGGGCAAAGAGTTTCTTGACCGGGACTACGATTCGCTGGCCGCGCCGCTGCCCGTTGACGCTCACCACCTCCTGCCGCAGGGGCACCTTGGGCGGCCCAGGTGTTCCCTCTTTGGCTTTACGCCACCCTCGCTCCAGCGGTCTGGAAGGGGTTACACGGACGGCGTTCAATAACGAATGTCATACTGACGTTTGCTTTCATCAGCACGGCTCAGAGCAGCGGTTTCCAAACTTTTTAAGGCGAGGCCTCCCGCCAAACAGTATTAGCTTATGGCCGGGACCTCCCTGCTAACCCAC